TATATACATACAGCCCGCGACAAAAGATAGCACATCAAAATTTTTACCAGTTTTGACTACTTTTCTGTGCTTTTTTAAGGTTCATAAATTTTTTGTTAAAGTTAAGCTCCTTAACTAACAAAACCAATATAGGTCCAAATTAGAGACTTTGTACAAAAATTATAGAAATTACATAAACTTTTCGTCCCCTCTTAAGCATTATAATTTTAATTTATAGAATAACTTGCACTTTATTATACTCGATTTTAATAAGCTATAAAATTGCATTATTCTAGAAATCAAAATTAAAATGCTTGGAATTGTGAAGAACAGTTTGTGGAATTTTTGTAATTTTTGTACAAAGTCTCAAATTTGGACTTATATTGGTTTTGTTAGCTAAGGAGCTTAACTTTAACAAAAAATTAATGAACCTTAAAAAAGAAAAAGAAAAGTATATACACAAACAATTTACATCTATTGGGGAGGGCCCAGTGAATTAGTAAACTGGGCGAAAGCATGCGCACAAGCTTTCACCCCCTCCGCCAACACCGTGAAGGCCTCTGCCATTGTTGCAGTTACGGTAGCCATTCGCTCTGTGGCAGCAGCCATTCTGCTTATTGCCTCAGCATTGGAGCGGTTGGCCTCCGCGTTGGTTGCAGCACTTTCAGCAAGCCTCTAAGAAAATAAAAGTTTTATTAATAATTCAATACAAATACAGTATTGAAAAAATTACCTTTTCTGATTCGGCCTGTGCCTCGGCAATTCTTAAAAATTTCGCCTTTGTTGGCGATTCTTCCGCACGTTTCCGCTTAGCGGTTCTGCGCGGTGTTTGCCTCGGCGTTTTCGGAGTTTCGCACCGAATTTCCGACTCGCCATCCGATACCGTTAGTGGAGGAATTACCATAGTGTCTTCCTCCATGACTAAGCGGAACTTTTCATCCGCCGCCCCCAATGTTAATTGCAGTTCCTAAAAATAGCATAATGAATATTGCAATATGATTAGCATATTGGCATGGGCTTTTAATACGGTACAATTCAACTTACCTCTTCCATGGGAATATTCTCCTGGACATCCGGTTGCCCCTCCATATAGCTGCTTCCCACTAGAGCTATTACCCGCTTCTCCAATTCGTTCAAGGGAGGCTGTTGAAGCGGTATATTCCCCGTCAATGCTTGCTCCCTCTTACGATCACGAACTCGCGTCGATGTTCGACTTNACGAAATAGTCCCCGTCAATGCTTGCTACCTCTTACGATCACGAACTCACGTTGATGTTCGACTTTTTAGGTCGCGCCAGACCTTTTGCAAAATAGAAACACACTTTCATACTTTGGTGTAGGCCGTTTTCGGAAATGCCTTACTGCAAAGCACCTTTTCTTATACTTAAGTATATAATGATGTCTGATTTCAGCAAACATATTTTTGGAATAAGAGGTGCGATGTTTTGCAGTAATGCATTTCCGGAAATGCTCGTACTTTGTCACTTATACTTACATTTTGCCATTGCTCCACAGATTTGGCAGCCCCCCCAAGAGAATTCAATTTATCTGCCATCTCTGCCCACTTCTTGGTGTTCTCCAACTTGCCATGGAGCTTCTGGAACTTGCCGCTCGCCACATTCGGGTTTTCACCCAGAAAGTCAAGCATCGCGCTTAACTGCTCCCCCGATGCACGGCTCCTTTTCGTCGGCTGGATAGACATCCTGAAATGAAAGAAGTCCTAGTAAATTCCAATTAATAACTAAAACAACTAAATACTACCTTTTAAAATTGCAATACGTTGCTGGCGCAAAAAATTCCATTTCCGCGGGAAGGAAATAAGTTTTTTTTCTTATTCCTCTTTGTACTTTTCGCATATTTGACATTTATCTCGACTGAGATGCCACATTTCATCATTTTAAATAAAAAGGAATAATCAGCTGTTTTTCGCTGTTAAGCAAGAGTTAGAGAATCACACAATTGTTAGTGCAAACGGCAAAAGTTGTTATGTAACCTAACAATTTTTTTATTGCTAAGAGTTACAGAATCGCACTACAGTTCTGTTTCGCTTATACTGTGTTTAAGTTGTTGTTGCGCGTGGTGTATGTGGGTTTTAGGGCCAGTTTTTCAGTGCCAGTTTAAACTTAGTTTAAGTAAACTGAGTTTAAATTGAACAGCTGCTTGACATTTGATTGGCTGATCTTAGTTTAAACCACGGCCATGCACTGAAAAACTGGCCCTTAGAAGTTATAATACTCATGTTTGTTTGCGTATTTTCTTTAAAAAAAAAGTTGTTTTGTTTTTTCGGTTTGTGCTTTAAGTTTGTGGGATGTGGTGTTAATATTGACATTCTTTATTGCGTTTGTCAAGTGATTTGGTAATAGGTTATATATCCTGCATTCTAATAAGAACTTAAGTTGCGCCATCTGCTTGGTTAACTTCTGTTTTAGTTTACTGTATCTTTTCAGTGCCATACATGTGTTTTCGCCGTGTTTATACTTCATATGTTTGTAGAAGTCCTTCATGTTTGTTGCTGTGATTCTTTGTTGATGTTTAATAAAAGAAAAAATATATACTTCGGCAGGCCTTCCGAAATTATACAATTTGATTTTTAGCTAATGATCAATTTATGGTAGATTGTTTTTGGTATTTTATAGGCTTATTGATCAGTACTTTTATGTGCAAGAAAACACTGTTCTTCACGTTTTAACCCGACGTTTCGCTAAATTTCTTAGCATCTTCAGGGGCGTTTTTTCTCCTTTTATTTTTACATCAACATATAAATATACATAAAGTTTTTAAAAATTAGTATGGACGTATAAAAATGTGTAAACAGTTCTACAAACAATAACAAAACAATCACATATTTGTAAAATTTTTGGACTTACATATAAACATGTGTTGAAAATACGCGTACATATATAAACAAATAAATAACATCAAAACTTAAACCAATTGGTCCACATCGATACCAACGTCGCACAGTGGGGCAAAAAAGGTTGTCGTGGACAAATTAATTTTGAGAGCCCAAATATGAACCGATTTCAAGTTTCTTTTTTATAAACGAAAGATAGCAATAGCAATTTTTGGTTTGTCTGGGAGGTGCCACGCCCTCTTTTCCAATAGCCCCAATGTTTCTCCATTAGTATGCGATTTATTTCACATACCTCCGTACCAAGTTCCAGTACTCTACCATGAACACTTCCAGAGATATGTAGAATGCAAATTTTGGTTTGTATGGGAGGTGCCACGCCCCCTTTTCCAATAGCCCCAATTTTTCTCCATTAGTATGCGATTTATTTCACATACCTCCGTACCAAGTTCCAGTACTCTACCATGAACACTTCCAGAGATATGCAGAATGCAAATTTTGGTTTGTATGGGAGGTGCCACGCCCCCTTTTCCAATAGCCCCAATTTTTCTCCATTAGTATGCGATTTATTTCACATACCTCCGTACCAAGTTCCAGTACTCTACCATGAACACTTCCAGAGATATGCAGAATGCAAATTTTGGTTTGTATGGGAGGTGCCACGCCCCCTTTTCCAATAGCCCCAATTTTTCTCCATTAGTATGCGATTTATTTCACATACCTCCGTACCAAGTTCCAGTACTCTACCATGAACACTTCCAGAGATATGCAGAATGCAAATTTTGGTTTGTATGGGAGGTGCCACGCCCCCTTTTCCAATAGCCCCAATTTTTCTCCATTAGTATGCGATTTATTTCACATACCTCCGTACCAAGTTCCAGTACTCTACCATGAACACTTCCAGAGATATGCAGAATGCAAATTTTGGTTTGTATGGGAGGTGCCACGCCCCCTTTTCCAATAGCCCCAATTTTTCTCCATTAGTATGCGATTTATTTCACATACCTCCGTACCAAGTTCCAGTACTCTACCATGAACACTTCCAGAGATATGCAGAATGCAAATTTTGGTTTGTATGGGAGGTGCCACGCCCCCTTTTCCAATAGCCCCAATTTTTCTCCATTAGTATGCGATTTATTTCACATACCTCCGTACCAAGTTCCAGTACTCTACCATGAACACTTCCAGAGATATGCAGAATGCAAATTTTGGTTTGTATGGGAGGTGCCACGCCCCCTTTTCCAATAGCCCCAATTTTTCTCCATTAGTATGCGATTTATTTCACATACCTCCGTACCAAGTTCCAGTACTCTACCATGAACACTTCCAGAGATATGCAGAATGCAAATTTTGGTTTGTATGGGAGGTGCCACGCCCCCTTTTCCAATAGCCCCAATTTTTCTCCATTAGTATGCGATTTATTTCACATACCTCCGTACCAAGTTCCAGTACTCTACCATGAACACTTCCAGAGATATGCAGAATGCAAATTTTGGTTTGTATGGGAGGTGCCACGCCCCCTTTTCCAATAGCCCCAATTTTTCTCCATTAGTATGCGATTTATTTCACATACCTCCGTACCAAGTTCCAGTACTCTACCATGAACACTTCCAGAGATATGCAGAATGCAAATTTTGGTTTGTATGGGAGGTGCCACGCCCCCTTTTCCAATAGCCCCAATTTTTCTCCATTAGTATGCGATTTATTTCACATACCTCCGTACCAAGTTCCAGTACTCTACCATGAACACTTCCAGAGATATGCAGAATGCAAATTTTGGTTTGTATGGGAGGTGCCACGCCCCCTTTTCCAATAGCCCCAATTTTTCTCCATTAGTATGCGATTTATTTCACATACCTCCGTACCAAGTTCCAGTACTCTACCATGAACACTTCCAGAGATATGCAGAATGCAAATTTTGGTTTGTATGGGAGGTGCCACGCCCCCTTTTCCAATAGCCCCAATTTTTCTCCATTAGTATGCGATTTATTTCACATACCTCCGTACCAAGTTCCAGTACTCTACCATGAACACTTCCAGAGATATGCAGAATGCAAATTTTGGTTTGTATGGGAGGTGCCACGCCCCCTTTTCCAATAGCCCCAATTTTTCTCCATTAGTATGCGATTTATTTCACATACCTCCGTACCAAGTTCCAGTACTCTACCATGAACACTTCCAGAGATATGTAGAATGCAAATTTTGGTTTGTATGGGAGGTGCCACGCCCCCTTTTCCAATAGCCCCAATTTTTCTCCATTAGTATGCGATTTATTTCACATACCTCCGTACCAAGTTCCAGTACTCTACCATGAACACTTCCAGAGATATGTAGAATGCAAATTTTGGTTTGTATGGGAGGTGCCACGCCCCCTTTTCCAATAGCCCCAATTTTTCTCCATTAGTATGCGATTTATTTCACATACCTCCGTACCAAGTTCCAGTACTCTACCATGAACACTTCCAGAGATATGTAGAATGCAAATTTTGGTTTGTATGGGAGGTGCCACGCCCCCTTTTCCAATAGCCCAAATTTTTCTCCATTAGTATGCGATTTATTTCACATACCTCCATACCAAGTTCCAGTACTCTACCATGAACACTTCCAGAGATATGCAGAATGCAAATTTTGGTTTGTATGGGAGGGGCCACGCCCCCTTTATATAACGAAATTATTTCCCTCATATTATCATCCTTGGAGGGGTTGGAGTAAGCGTCCAAAATTTCAAACAAATCGGTATAGCTGTTCTCGAGTTTTCCGAACAGAAACAAAAACCGCTTTCAAAATATATATTAGTACAGATAACAAATTAAATACATTACTTAATTAGCGGCATCCTATGTAGAAATGTTTATAATTAATTTTTAAATAACTGCAGGCATTTGACATTAATTTCAAGTATTATCCATAAAAGTGGAAGCATTTAAACGTAAAATTTTTTTTCTTTCATCTTTCAACATAAATAAATAAAAAACTAGAGCTTCTTAAAAAAATCGCCTCGAACAGTTCGACGCAGAATTTAATTATGTTTCGTTTATAAAAAAGAAACTTGAAATCGGTTCATATTTGGGCTCTCAAAATTAATTTGTCCACGACAACCTTTTTTGCCCACCTGTGCGTCGTGTGGTACACTTGTCATACTGCTTGATGTTAGCTATAAACAAAGTAAATATGCAGTCGGGATGTCATCCGTGTCTTCCTTTTTGTTAATGGTCTTGTCCCTATTCTGTAATATCCATAAGCTCTCCAACGTGAATCTTGTTCTCTCCCTTTTTTCTTTGCCTATTATTTTTGCTTTGGTTAGATCAGCTGTATGTCCGCTTGCTGATATGTGTTGTGATAGCGCCGTGTTGCTCTTCCTCTTCTTGATGTCCGCTTCATGCTCCGATACACCAACTGCAAGCGACCTTTTCGTTGTCCCAATGTAAATTTTATTACACTTTTCGTTTTCACTTCCTTCGCATGTTATTTCGTACACTACGTTATTTTGTTGGTGCGGCTCTATAGGAGTTTTTGTTGTGGTAAAAATTCAAGACAACGTGTGATTTGATCGGTATGCTAGTATTGTGTTTTGGTTGTTAGTGTGTTTCTTATGATCAAATTTTTCACTCAGCCTAGGTACATATGTAACACTGTAGTAGCGTTTTGTCTCATTGGTTGTTGTTGTGATCGTAGGGTTAGTTATTGCGTTTGTCATTAATATCTGTTCTTATTTCTTTAACTAGGCTATGTATTATGTGCTCCGGATAGTTGTTACTTTTAAGAATTTTAAATATTTTTTTTATATTTGCGTCAAAAAATTGTTGATGGCTTATTTTTAGTATCTTATTGATTAAGTTCTTGGCAGTATTAATTTTGTACTTTGAGGGTTGTGACGACAACTAATTAATTAAACGTCCCGAGGATGTAGGCTTCGAGTACCAGTCAAATATC